CTCGTCGTAGTGGTGCATATAGAGAATGTCGGAGTTATCCCAATGATCGGCTCCCAACTCCTCGCCATGGCATGCTACGTGCAAGAACGGTCTACTTCTGGCTAACGCGTCTACCAAGTCGCGATTTAGACTACCTGTAACACCCAACCACCTCAACCTTGGAAAGTATGGGTTTTTTAACCATTTGAATGAGAGCTGTGTAAGGCCACCACAGTTGTACAAATCCAACAACCGGAGGCTACTACCATGTCGTTGGTCTTCATTAGCTTGCATTGAGGCTAATGCCATGACCGAGATATCGCCGATGAGAGGGCATTGACGCATTCGGAGTTCGGATATCGCAATCCTGCTTCTGGTCAGTTGTAAAACTGCAGCATCAGACAGGTAAGGAAGGTTGGATAGATCTAATTCTTGCAGTTCTATCTTGGATAAGCCATCAAATAGAACAGTGATGGATTTATCTGTAAGCTTCTTGCAACCTCTAACAGACAAGGAAACTAACGAGCTCATAATCATGGGTTTTAAGTGAGACAATCCTGCATCACTAATATCGGACCCGTCCAAAAGCAACGTCTTCAGTTTTGGAATAGTACTGATAGCTTGAAGCGCTTCATCCCGAAGGCTTCTGCAATCTCTCAAATCAAGAAAACTTAGATCCTTGTTCAATGACAAATTTTTTACGGCATCGTTCGTTAGGAGACTGCACCATCTTAAGCTAACATGCTTCAAGGAAAGTGAAGTAGCAGAGATGTCGTGAAAAACTAGATGGGTTAATTGAATTCCATGGAACACCCTAAGCTTGTTTAAATTGGAGAATGTATGCAGAAGTGTCCTGAACCCAGTGTCTGTAACACGACAAAAGCCTCCGAGACAGATACTTTCCAGGTCAGCGCATCCATCGGCCATTAAGAGGATCCCCAAATCATTTACTCTTCTAAAATAAGTTACAAAAAATTCCTGACTTCGCACCAAAGAGAGATGCTTCAATTTTGAAAGATGTTTGATTTGTTGAAGGCCAACGTTGGTCAGGTCAAAAGAAAATCTTGGTTCAATAATTGGAGCATCTTGTAGTTCCAAATGAGTCAAGGAGACAAGACCTTTTGATATTGCACCAACCATGGCATCAGTTATGTAGTCCACTGAAAGGCACAATTTTTCAATGTTAGGCCACATGGATGGGCCAACATGATTCATAGAATTACTGATACCCAGATTTTGGCTAAGCAGTTCGGTGATTGTAACCGAATAAATACAGCCAATCTCGAGAGAAGTTAGTTTTTCTGAAGCCATAGCCCAGACTCGAGCAAAGTTTTGACGAAGGAAAAATGAGACATCAAACATCAGGGTTAATGCCTGTTAATGAAGAAAAGACATCAATCATGAAACACAATCATGAGCCAAATAAGATAAAATTGAACTCATAAACAAGAATAGATCTGTAGACTGTAGTTAGGTTCGATTAAACTATCGTACGCAACACATGGGGTTAGAGGTTATCATAATAGCACACTAAATACTTTTCTATTTGATAAAGAGTAATCTTTGGCTCAGACCAAATCCTTTTGCATAATATTTGTCATCCTTACATGATTTGAATACCTTGGGCCTCGTTATCACGATTTCACTTTTAGATTTATGTTTTTGAGAATTGTGCTCGTTTCCTTACGAATTCTTCATTGAAGTTTTCATCTCTCTTAAAAAAAAATTTGAATCTTGGGCCAAATTCCAAAAACAAAAACAAGTTTATAAAACTTGGCTTGAATTTGAAAACACTTTTAGAAAGTAGATAAACAAAATAAAGAAACTAATGGGTAGAAGTACTATTTGTAAGCTTCAGTTTCGAAAACAAAAAACTAAATGGTTATCAAACGGGCCTTAGAAGTTAAAACAATGATCTAAGGAGTACTTAAAATAGCCCTTGGAAGTATAAATGTTAATGATAGAATTGAAAAAACCCATCCAGAAAGCTCTTAACCCCTCAAAGGTGTGTGCTGTGAAACGTAGCTGAAAAAGACTTGGATTAGCTCTTCATTCTTGCTCGATTTGCTAGGAAGATTAGCGTAACAACTATGCTAGTTACAAGTTCCAGCTCTACTTGGATCCACTTACACTCACACTACACTCTAAGAGATTTGGAAAACGAGAAACGTATGAGTTATTGATGATGGAAACAGAGTTTTCTGGGATTGGATTCCATAAGATCTCTAGTTGGCTTTCAGTCATTTATCACCATAATAATTTTGGTTAGATCTAGCCGATCATTTCCACTTGATCGGAAATTTCACAACACACAACAAAGACCAACAAAAAATCCCCCCCCCCCCCCCCCCCCCCCCCCCCCCCCCCCCCCCCCCCCCCCCCCCCCCCCCCCCCCCCCCCCCCCCCCCCCCCCCCCCCCCCCCCCCCCCCCCCCCCCCCCCCCCCCCCCCCCCCCCCCCCCCCCCCCCCCCCCCCCCCC